AGGAAGGAAAGCTCTGCCTGATGAACAGGGATGGCCCAGCTTCAGATGGCTGAGTTTATCACTGTCAGTCACTCCCCCTGTGACATGCTGACTCTCCTAAGCTACTTGCCAGTCTGCCCCTGAATGAAGTGCCACTTAGAGTATGATATTTAATAAAGAAAAAAGAAGGAAGTAGGGTGATAGTGCTAAGGATGGGTTCTGTTTGCCTTAAGATATTGCTGGAAACTGTGGCAGTAACACCACATGGTAAACTGCAAGAATTCAGAAGCTGACTCACAGGCAGAGAAGATGCCCCTGCAGCAGAGGCAGATGGACAGCTGGGGACAGCAACCTCCTCAGCTGTTCCAAGCTAAGCCACACTGCTAACCAGTCTCTGCTCCTGGTTTCATCCCACTGTAGAGCTAGAGTGCTAGTGACAGGTACCATTAAGGCTGTCTGTTTCTATTCTGAAGCCTTATTTTCAAAGGCTCATGCTTTTCTGAAGCTTTCTGAAAATACTAGCTTGAGAGCAGAGGTGTCTCAGTCTCCATATCACAGATATTCTTTTTGCATAAAGCACTTGGAAACTAATGTAGTCCTTAAAAAATAGGTTGGCATTTTTACAATTTTTTTTAAAGTAACAGACTAAATATGGCCTTTCCACTTTGTTCTCAAAATACAACATTTTACTAAAACTTTAAACAAAAAACACGCCAGCTGAAGGCAGATTCTAAACAGGGTATTTACCTAAAAATGTGAAAGGGTCACAGGTTCTGAGCAAGCAAAAGTAACATTTCAACTACACTGAGTTAGAAGGTGTGTCACTCTCTGAAGGCCACGGACTTGCTCTTGTCAATTCCTAGAGACCAAACTGAGACAAGTGACAGCTTCTGGATTAAAGAAACTTTTGATCTGCCAAAGTAAACAGGGTTACTGGTATGATACGATATAACTGGTGGTAAAAGATGCTTTTCCCTTTGAGTGTACAACTTTAATCCTAAAGTGCCAGCTCAGAGACAGGATTAGTAACTTCCTGAAGTGTAAGGAAATCAGTTCAGTCATAGATTATAAAACTGCTACATGTATAACTAGCTGCTATTTTGCACTCTTGTGCTCTGTATTGGATCACACCAGAAAACCGTAAGGCTAGGCTTAAAGCAGCCTCAAAGATCTAAATAAAACACTGGAATGGTCCATGATCATTACAGTTTTATTGAATTTGCAGTAGTAAATTCTTGTAAACTACCTCTCATGATTATGAATCATTATTTTACTGCCTATTCACTCCTGGACCAGTTAATAGTGTACATAAAGGAAAAACACTATGGTTTACTCAACACAGTATTTTATTCCTTGCTTAGGCACTCTCTTCAGAGAAAAGTGTATATCTGAGGGAAGGATTTTGCATAGCCTAAGTAATAACCTATTCCATGAACAAACATGAAACCCAGGACCAGTTCTAGCTCATGGTCTACAACTCCTAACCTTTGTTTAGTTCTCCTGCTAAGCGTATGAAACCTAACAATGATAGGCTATATTTATAGAAACCAGGCAACACAAAAAGGTTTAGTTCATATCTGATATGGGAAAATAGGTTCTTCACTCTTTGTCCAAAAAATTGAATACATTATAAGATGGTCTAATTTATACAATGTAAATCAGAAGAAAGTCCATTGACTAGAGTAGAATTATAATGGTTTTGCGCCCCCAGTGTGAGCCATGCATAGCTCAAGAATGTAGGCATTCTAAAGCAGAAAACAGATATGAGGGCTGGCCCTTTACTATTCAGCCCTCTCGCACTACATGTAGATTTCACAGAGCTTTGCCCCACTGGCCTTTGAAAGGTCTCCAACAGACATTTGGAACTCAGAGTATCTCAAAGGGGTGGAACAGTAGCAGGATTCCTGGCACTATTTCAAGTGTGGTTGGATTAGGGTGTTTGTCAGAGAGGGATCAGGTTAGGTTCTTCCCTTTCCACAGGGGCAGACAGACTCACTGAAACTGCCCAGGTTTATTTTGGATTTATGGCTGAGAAAGCACGGAGTTATGTAATGTACGAACCTGCTCAGTCCATCAGTCCTCCAACATTTTAAAGTGGGAGCATTATAAAGGAACTAAAATACTATACACAGGACTAAATTGGGCCAGTCTGTGTGTACATTATGCAAATATGCATAATATATGTTGACTTGTGGGTGCCATGACCCTCTAGTGGAACTCTTGCTCTTCTTGTCACAAGCCCTAAACAGCTAATAAGGACTCTACAAGGGTCAAAACAACCCTTCCTCTGCTGACTTTGGAAGCTACTGTATAACTCAAAGAGGTTGACGAGTTCACCTTGCCATGAAAATACGCAAGGCTACATGTAGTCACTCCCCTGTAAGGGCCATCCTCCTGGGTCTCAGGGGACTGGGCACGATGCTCCCTCCAAGTCCCCAGAGATCTGGAATTCTGCATTCTCCCTTGTAACTCAGGGGCTCAGAACATGAATTGCATTACAGGCAGCTCAAGCCTATTCCTCCCTTCTCCTTGGTAATCAATCAGCATTCCTCCAGCCAACGCCTCTCTATCCAGCACAGCAAAAGCTCAAAGTAGATCAACTGCAGCTATCCAACCACAGTAAGTGCATTTAAAAATAAATAAATAATAAAAGGCTGGTTTGGAAAGGAAACAGGAGAAGTGCTTTATAAATGTAAATAACTAAACTTCAAAAGGGGGTGAAGTTATGTGAAGTCAAGAGAAGTACCTACATATCTATCTGTATCTAAATCTATAAGGTATTTGTAGGGCACTAGCCATGGCATAATCTAAGCATGATATGTACTAATGATCATCCACCTTTGGCTACACTATGCATAAGTGATTTATTAATCCCTCTTCCATTAACATCAGACTATGATCTCACTCTTGCAATAGCCGGTGCTCTCCATTTGCTAGAGACAGGTGGACCTCAACCCATTTGGAGATTCATTGCAGATGAGATAATCTCAAAGGATAAGATTTTGCCCCCACTGAAATTAATACTAAAATTCCAATAAACTTAATTGGGTTCTTAGACTTCACAAAGCTGCTTTCATTTTCTTTTTGTCTTCCATCCTCCAGAGTTCTTAAGTCTGCAAAACAGTGCCAAGGCTCTCCTAAAACCACTTTTCTTAAAGAATCTTTGCAACTACCAAAAATATTGTGAGGAAAATCCCATTCCTGGTAAGCCACAACCTAGGTCCAAGTCCTACGATTAAAAGAGGAAAGATGATGTCAAAAGGAATGTCAGCTTTCCCTGTGAAACAATCAAGTCTCTCTCAAATCTCAGAAAAGTGTTAGGCTAGATTACTTTAGAAAAAAGGTACAGGCGCGTCCTTGTTTGATTGTACCAGCCCACCTTCTGGGTATTCGTACTCTGTGCTCAAAGGAGAGAGATATACTCCAAAATTTATAAGTAAGTATAATAAAGTAGAGCTCCTTGAAGTAGGATGTCTTGAAAGGGCTAGGGAGGGAGAAAGGAATCTCCCTCATTTGCAGAACACTGTTTGCACCATATGTATTCACAGGCTTAAACCAAAGTGATAACATTTCCACTGTGGAAATGCTGCACCCAGGAACACTTCAGGTCACAGAAGAAAAACATCAAGCAATTAATTTGTTGAGGTGAGCAGAATGCAATCTCCAACTCTGGAATCAGGCAAGCACAACAACATTATCAGCTTCTTTATACCAATAGTATCCCAGTCCCATTATCAGCAAGAGAGGGACCTCAATGTTACATCTCCTGGAAACAATACCTGCCACAAAACATACAGTTATTTCTCTTCCATAGTTCTTTTTTTCCAGATACTATTTTGAAAATATTGCAACCAGTAACTAAAAGCTTAAGCTTGGTAGCCCCAGTCATAGAGACAAAGTCCAGTACATTCACATGCTACAAAGGGGAATTGTACCAACTGCACTTTTGAAGGGTCACAGATAGATGAATATAAACCGCAGCTCAAACCCTCTCTGCTGCACCACTGAACGAGCCTTCCCTCCTGTGTCTGTATCTATCTGATCTGGCACGTGCTAAGGATGGCATTACAAATGTTGTGAGTTTTAACACACATATACAAGTATCTCACACTGTGTTACAGCCAAGTAAAATGAAATAGCCAAATGACTAAAATGGACAGTTAAGGCAACATTAGAAGCTGACAAACAGCTTCTAACCAGGTCCAGATGCTTTTTATTTCTGCATAATTTAAAATCTAACATTTCCAGGCACTGCATGCGGTTCAGTTCTTTTCCCTCCTGCTTGAACTTGCATGCTGGAACCAAACATTATGCTAATGATCTCCAAGGACCTAGCACTACTGTTGCTTAGGAACAAAAGTCTCACAGGCTGTGAAAGGAGAATCGAATAGAGAGACCCTGGAGCTCGGGAAG